TGTTGCCATCATTCATTTCTAGACAATTACTTTCTACTGAGCCTTTGGTATCAGCTCCTCTTTTTTCCGCCTCACCCCCACCTCATGATCCCGATAGATCATAAATTATTATTTGCATATCTCACACCGACCACTATCTCCCTTACCCCATGGTTTCTGTTGTTCTTCCCCCCACAGGGTGTGTGTGGTTGTATGTCGATCATTATAATGAGTTGCCCCTTCTTCCCCTCCTCCCCACCCATGGAACTATGTTCTACAGGGTTTCCTATGCCTACATTTTCAGATTGCCAGGCCTTCCTTCCAAGCCACATCTGGGTAGATGTGAACCTCCAATATTATAGTTAATGCTGAGCACATGAGCTGTTCACACCACCCAGGGACTGCAAAGCATTTTTGGTAGATATTTAAAATGCAGTTTCCATGAGGTTTACAAAGAATAACTTTTTCTGAAATCATAAAACATTCACCAGCAACCCAAGAGGAAAGAGAATTTTGTGAATGATGAGGGCAACAAATGTATAAGTGTGCTTTCCACAATTGATCTATGTATTGTGATGAATTGTATGAGCCCCAATAAAATGATTTAAAAAAATTTTTAAAAAACCATTCAACAGCAAGTATGAAAAAAAAAGGGTGTGCAAACAAGTCTCAGTGACTGATCCCAGCTTCACTTAAGAATCATGAAGGTCAGAGAGAACCACAGGGCCAGCCCCACTAGAAGACACAACGTCCCTCACTGACCCATAGGACTATGGGGACAACACTGGAGACACTGTGGGAATTGTGCCTGATCTTATCCCACCACACCGAGGTGAAACACTAAGGGCGGACAACAGAACAGCAAGGGGAGCAGAGCAACGAAGGCCCCAGGAGATACCAAAACCAGACTTTGGAGCCAGGGCAAACACTCCTAAAGGTCAACAAACAGAACTTGAACTACTTATAGGCTTTTGTTGTTGTTGTTGTTGTTTTCTTTTGTTGCTTTGTTTTGATCTGTCTTATTTTTTGTGCATATTATTCTCTCTGCAGGTTTATCTAAATAAGATAGGCAGGAAAAACAATCTGAAGGAGAAAACAACAGGTCTGATGGTTCGGGTCAGGGGGCATGGGAAAGGGGGGAGGCGGGAGAAAGGAAGTGGGTGTAAACAAACCCAGGGACAAGGGAACAAAAAGTGATACAAAATCGATGGTGAGGAGGGTGTAGGAGGTCTGGTAGGGCGTCATCAAGGACAATGTAACCGAGAGGAATTACTGAAACCCAAATGAAGGCTGAGCATGATAGTGGGACAAGA